GGCGAAGCGGGCTCGTCCCCTCTCCGCATTTTCGCCCCAACCGTGCGTTCGGTGGAGGAGGGTCCCATCCGTCTCCCGCAGGCAGAGAGACGGCAGTGAGGGCAACTGAAGGCGGACGACCCGGTTCCGAAAAGCACCTAGGTTGCGAGGCCGCTTCCGCAATGCGGCGAGTGCAACCCTTTTACCTGCGGGCGTTCCGTAGGCCTGAGCGATCTTTTGCTCTGGGCCTATGGCATCTTTGGTTGAAGCGCTGCAGAGAAAGGGTCTCGAGCCCCTTGGGAGGACTGACTGCAGCCCTGAAACCGCGCGGGGAAACACGACTCGAGCGCGGTCGGCGGGCAATCGAAGGCACCAGTGGAGGCACGCATCTTCCCTTTTACCCGGCCACGCGGCGAGTATTGGCGTTGTGTCTTGGAGAAATCTAAATCGAATCCCGCCTGGTATGAGAAGAAGTTATTGTGCACAAGCGAGCGAACTGGTGGCTGACCGCTTGGGACGTCTGGGGGCCACGTGCCAGGCACAGACCACGCGAGGGTAACAATAGTCGCGTCAACACCATTTATAGCAAACTTTTGCCATCCAGGCTCCTCTGGGAAACGTCCTGCTGAACAATGTCATCTCAAAAGCGCTAGATCAAAAGTCAAAGTTCCAACCAAAGTGAGAGGCTGACACATCAGATGTCACAGTTCTACGTTGTTGAGAACATAGCTCCGGAGCGGACAGGTTCTGGTCTCCGAATGCACGCAAACACCAAGACAAGCCCGCATTGGCGGTAGGCTCGGTGTTCATCGGATCAAGCCAACTGTCCCTCACCCTCGGATTCGTGGATCTAGATGTTAGCAGTCGACAATAAGAAACTCACTGAGATCCAGATACTTTCAATAGTAACAATTCTTCCGCTTCCCGTAGACCTTTCACACCCATTGCAGACTGCGCAAGAGGAGAGCATTTCCTGAACCCCTCGATTTATCCATCAATCACAGCATTGACGGCACTGATGCTCTCGCTCCCGTCTCACAACCCCACAGCTGCCCCTCCCCCGCACCCCACGCCCCATCTTTCCGGATGCCCTGAACAAGTCGATCAACAGGAAGCTGCGGAACGACTTGTCAGCTGGAAGGCGGCTTCTGTCTGGCCTCGCTGGCACAGCGTCCTGTGGTATTTCCATGGACTCTTTTCCGATCCGACGGCCCGATGCCGGACTTCATCGGAGCTTTTTGTTTTCTGGGGGCCCGGATTCCCCGACTTCCCCAAACCCCAAGACTCTCCGCAGTAAAGGGGTAAGAAACAAACAACATGGCCGACAAGATCACCATTACGGGCTGGGCAACGCGCGATGTGCGCTTCCCCACGTCCCTTGACAAAACGGGCTCGGATGCCATGAACGCCGCTGGCGACTACTCGGCGGCGTATTGCATTCTAACAACTAACTCGGCGTACAGTGGGCATGGAATGGTACCCTCCCTCTCTTCGGTTTCCTACCACGAGCTGCTAACCCCTTTTTGGTAGACCTTTACTATCGGGCGTGGCAATGACATCGTCTGCGCCGCGATCAACCACGTCGCGGAGCGCATCCAAGGCCGGACGCTCTCTAGCCTCGTCGCAAACTGGGGACAGACCTGGCGACACCTCGTCAATGACAGCCAGCTTCGGTGGATTGGGCCAGAGAAAGGAGTTATTCATCTGGCGCTGGGCGCCGTGGTAAACGCCATGTGGGACCTCTGGGCCAAGGTACTCGGAAAGCCCGTCTGGCGCATCGTCGCCGACATGACGCCTGAGGAGTTTGTTGACTGTATCGACTTCCGCTACATCACCGACGCCATCACGCCATCGGAAGCGATCGAGCTCCTCCGAGATGCTCTCCCCGGCAAGGCCGATCGGATGCGTGATGCTGAGGCGTCCCGGGCCGTGCCAGCCTACACCACCAGCGCAGGCTGGCTTGGCTACGGTGAGGACAAGATGCGTGATCTCCTCAAAGCAACTCTCGCCAAAGGCTACAAGCACTTCAAGCTGAAAGTCGGCGGCGATGTGGAGCAGGACAAGCACCGCCTAACCATTGCTCGCGACATCATCGGTTACGACTCCGGGAACGTCCTCATGGTTGATGCCAACCAGATTTGGTCCGTCCCAGAAGCGATCGAGTACATGAAGCAGCTTGCGCCGTTCAAACCTTGGTTTATCGAGGAGCCCACCTCACCCGACGACATTCTCGGACACAAGGCCGTGCGCGATGCCCTCCGTCCATACGGCATTGGCGTCGCCACCGGCGAGATGTGCCAGAATCGTGTCATCTTCAAGCAGCTTCTGATGGCAGATGCCATTGACGTATGCCAAATCGACGCGTGCCGCATGGGCGGTGTGAATGAAGTCCTGGCTGTGCTGCTGATGGCGAAGAAGTACGGGGTGCCGATCGTCCCTCACTCGGGCGGTGTCGGTTTGCCCGAGTACACCCAGCATCTGAGTACCATTGACTATGTCGTGGTGAGCGGGAAACTATCTGTGCTGGAGTTTGTTGATCACTTGCATGAGCATTTCCTGCACCCGTCCGTCATTAAGGATGGGTTCTACCAGACCCCCATGGAACCGGGGTACAGCGTGGAGATGAAGCCGGAGAGCATGGATCGGTATGAGTTTCCGGGAGGGGAGGGGGGTTGGTGGAGGACCGAGGAGGCGAGACCAATTTTGGAGGGCGTCAAAATATAAGGTAGTCAGCTGGCTCAAACAGGTGTTGATGGAAGTGATAGAGAAATACATTTCTCTCGCAACGCCAACGTGCCTTCCGTCTTCCAGCTTTCCAAGTTATCAATCTTATTGCAACCCAGCCCTGCTTCTTTGGCTTCTTCCGCTGCCACCTCTTCGGCCTATTTACTTTGCCATCTCTTCGATTTCTTTGATTTGCGGCCGATCTTCTCCTCTCCATCCACATTCGGGCGGTCCATCGCGACCGCAGCTCCATCTTTACAACATCACGACCACCATCTACAGCTTCGATTTCTTTCTGTCAATTATCTTGCAGTCCAATCATCAACATAAAGGTCAAAATATGGACCTGCAACATTCTTACGCCGGAAGCGCAAACTCATCTGAAGGTATGGATGTCCTCGTTCGCCCGAGACACCTTTGCTCCCGGGCATACTCCCTTCAACTGCACTCCTTCCTCGCAAGAATTGATTGCGTTCCCTTGATCCCCTCCAACTGGTTCCTATTTTGATGCTCACATTTCAATGTTGTTCTTGACCTCAATGAACACGACAACTAACACGACTTTAATTGCAGGAAGCTTCAGCGACAACACTAGCAGACAATCTACCCCAGACAGCATGGAGTCCTTGATGCTGTCGGATTCAGAGACTGATGATGACCTATCGTTGTTCGTCGACGCCAGCGTGTCGAGCCTGGAGGTTGATGAGGATTCTACCGGGGAGTCTTCCACCGATGACAGCTCTGACTCGGATGCGGAATCAAGCAATAAGTCGGACGGCGAGTCGGAGGATCAGGCTCCGAAAGTTGGGACCTTGCAGATGGATATCATCATGAGAACGTGCGAGCGCATTGAGGAGCAGGGCCACACGATGCAGCAGCTCCTGAATATGGCCGAAGAACTGCTAGTGAGTGACGAACTGAGGACCAATTGCGTCACAGAGCTGGGCCAAACGGTTGAGCAGCTTCAGGAGGCTGCTGAAGACTTGAAGTATAGGACGGATTGCATCCAGGAGTTGGGCCAGACAATCGAGCGGCTTCAAGCGATGATTGAAGAGCTGAAGGACAAGACGGATTGCGTCAAGGAGCTGGGCGAAGCGGCCGAGCAGCTTCAGCTGAGAGTTGAGGAGCTGAAGCAGAGGGCCGAAGCAGATTCCATCGGCCCCCCTCCGTCGCCACTTGCACTCTCTCACCCGAAGCGGAAGCGCTCAACTTCGAGGTGCGACCGGCGCTGCAAGAAGAAGAGACGCATGAGCATCCCGGAAAGAAGGGCGAGATGGATTCGTACGAAGCTTCGGGCAGCAGCCTCACATCCGTACGCCCGTCAACTTTACCGGTTGAAGAAAGCGAAGAAGGCTCTATCCCCGCCAGTCAACGACATGACCACAACTCAAGAGGAGGGGGCCGCTCAGAGAAGCAGCGCCACTCCCGAGCCGACCGTGCCGGATTTTGAGACGCACTACGAGATCGTTATCTCAATTGAACCCACCTTTCCAGTTTCTCGGTCGCCGGAGCCAGCTGAGGACGGTGATATCGCAGCCTCGACTAGACCTACTTCTCCCCTTCCTCGATCGCCAGAGCCAGCTGATGAAGATATCGAGCTCCAAAATGAGCGGAGACCTACTTCTCCAGTTCCTCATTTCCTAGAGGCCGCTGAGGATGACGATGATGAGTCTATCTCGATGGCTGAGGATCACGACGATGGACCTTTCTCGAACGTCGAGTATCAAGATGATGACCATGTCTCAGTAACAGACTCAATACTGGAGCTCATGGAGGACATGGATACCACACCCATGGTGCTTGATGCTGCATCTACTCAGCAGCAGTCGTCAGATGACAGCGACGCCGCGGAGCTGAACATGGTTGATTCGCACAAGGACACCACCCCCGAGTCGACAGGACAGGAGAAGATGAAGGGATCGACATGGCTCGGTAGATTCAACCCAATGGCGTATTTGATTTAAATACCATCAACATGGCGGAGGCATCGTGTGCTTTCTTGGTGGTTTTTCCTTGGTTTCGAACCAACACTACAACCGCGATGACTTATTCATTTCATCACATTAGGTACCTCGGAGATTCTCACACATAACTCTCTACCTACTATACGGTCATGGTCCTTTACATAGCCAGAATTACTTTTTTCACATAGCCAGCCATAATTCATCACGTCTCACACATCCCCATTCCTCGTGACTCAACACCGTTCACCTCCCCGATCCACCGTCCCCCCCAACTGACTTGCATACACCAGGATGTCAAAAAGAGCAAAAAAAGATGGCAATCGCCGGGAATTGAGCCCGACGTGGGGGTCGAACCCACAACCTTGAGATGATCACGTGAAACCATGGAGATGGATCTCATAAGAGTCTCACGCTCTACCGATTGAGCTAGCCGGGCGTGTGCCTGGTTGTTGATATTTTGAGTTTTGCAAATTTGGGTTATGTGTGGGCTGCATGTGGATTTGGGTTTACAGTGGAGATGGGGATGAGGATGGATACCTCATCTAGGTAGGGGAGGAGTACGTGGGTGGAGATGTGTTTGCGTTTTTGCCGCAGGTTGCTGCCAGGAGTTGATGTCAGGGGTTGGCGGTTTGGATGATTCAGGGGTATTATTTTCCCGTGCCGCTCCTGGTCGTGGGAGACCAGCGACATGCGGGTTCAACTCGTTGGATTGAAGGCATCGATGCCCGATGGGAGGTGCGTCAAAGAGGTGTTGTGTCAGGGTTTGATTGGAGAGGGTGCAGCTCTAGGTATTTATCAGGCTCTTCACTGCAATTTCTGCATCGCGCGAGAGGTTGACCCGGCCAGAAATACCCTGTCATCTTGTTCTTGGGTGAGATGCAGCCGAAGGTGCTTCTCCATGCAAGATCTACAACTACACTACCCTTTATTACATCCCACCATATCGAAACACTTCAACCCTATCAGACTCAGAAACATCGTCTCATTTCATCAATCAGATACCTCTGTAACCGTCCCGCTCCAAACACAGCCCCTACGCCGTACCCGAAGCATGCCACCGTATGTAGACTGATAACATACAGCCCTCAGAATCTACTGTCTTGCTTCTCTTCCGCACAGCATAAGCACAGCCAGCCCTTCCCAGTGTCCCCGACTGCTCATAATAACCCATGTTATGAAGCTCATACACGCCAGACGCCAAACAATGCCAATGCCAATGCTGGTAAATACCAAACCATTATCCCCCTTCACCCCCTTTCCCCCATCCCCCTTACTAACCAGAACCATCCTACCCCTTCAACTCAACCCCCGCCCCAACACCCACATCAAAAGCCTTCACCAACCCCATCGCCGCCCCCGCCGCCGCCCCTCCCACAACAACCATCTGCAACCCCCCTCCGACACTTTTCCTCACCGCTCGTCCCCCCTCCCACCCAACCACCACTCCCGTCTTGACATACCCAAACACAAACAACGCCACCGCCATGACACCAACAGAAATATACAACCCCTCCATCAGTTTCCCCTCCCCAGACCCAACGCAGAAGTACGGAATCAGCGGTAGTAACCCCCCGAGGAAATACGCCAGCGCGATGGTCAGCGCGGACGTGAGGGCGCGCGACGAAGAAGGCGGTTCGGCGCAGTGCTGGAAGCGCATGAGGAAGTCGATTAGTTTCGGCGAGGTGGAGAGGTGCGAGGATACCGAGGTGAGTAGGTCAGGGGGGAGGTCATAGGGAGTGAAGACGGAGCGGATGGCGGAGAGGGTGAGGGAGGGGGATGTGGTTGTTAGAGCGGTGGTTTGGAGGAGGGTTTCGTTGTACGATGCGCTGGAAGGGGGGGGGTTAGTCTGGGTTTGCCTTTGGACTTGGGGTGAAGGGAAAGGGGGGCTTACATTTCGGCTTTTGCGCCGAGGTAGCCGCCGAGGCCCATGGAGATGGCGCCGGCGATGAGCTCGGCGAGGCCGCCGAAGATGACGACTTTGGTGTCGCCGAGGGCGGAGAGGCCGGCGGTTAGGGCGAACGGGACGGTGAGCCCGTCGGAGAGGCCGATGGTGGCATCGGAGAGGATGCGCGCCGTGACTTGGAAACCGCGGCGGGGGGTGTCTTGGGATTCGACGTCGACGATGGTGGCCGTTGAGCCGTTGCTGCTGTGGCGCTCCAGGCTGGAGGTGTCTGAGGGTGGGAGTTTGATGACACCCTCACGGGGTTGGGGTATCCGGAGGAGGAAGTTTTTGAGTGCTACTAGAGACATCCTGGAGATGTGTCTTGAGGCAGAGACTCCAAGATCTAGGGGTTGTAGCTTTGCAGGAAATATCGAGCTGTGTGATGTTTGCGGCAGAAGCGCGCAAACCCTAAACGTCAGGAAGGAAGGAACAAGTTGACGCAAGTCTCCGCTCTAGGTACTTTGAACTCTGCTCAGCAATGAACACGGGGGGTTGCGTGTGTTTGCCTTTCTTGCTCGCGTGCGTCCTCCGGTGCAACAGTTGAGGATTTCTCTCTCCTGGGTTCGGCCTATGTATACAAAAAGGTACCCCGGTCCATCCCAAATTCTTTGTTTCGCCCAGGATTACTACGTCGTTGAAAGCCTGCTCCCGCCTTCCGAACCGGTGTGTTTCGCAGGTCACTTACACGCCGAGTGGCGAATCAGGGATGATGAATGTAAGCCGTATTAGCAGCGCTGTGATTGGTCAATTCGGGGAAGCTCAAACCCCCGTTTCCCACCCACCTTGACCCGGATGGAATCTTCGTCACGCTTCTGATTGGAGCTCCAAACGGCGGCGCAAAGCTTGAACAGATTTAAACTCGCTTTTAGGTCCATCATGACAGATGGGAATCTCCAACGTTGACATTGCCCCCGGGTTGATTGGTCGGGAGGCTGTTTCCCGCGCGGAGCCTCGATCTGCCCGCCCTCTCCGCCGTTTGGATCGGTGCACGGCATGCAGCACAGTCCTCGTGAGGAGCCGACGACATCACACAACATCTTTGGTTATTTGGAATCAGGAAGAGTATTCCCTGGCAAAAGAATCAAATTTGCCTATTCATGAGCAGCATCTCAAAGAAACAGAGAGGTATCGTTTCTCCAGCACGTAAGTTCCTCCATACCTATCCCAGCTCCCGTCTCCATTAGCGCAAACCTCCCAAACCTCCCAAACCCCAATCTCGAAATCCCATGCCCCTTAGATTCAATACGACCCCTTCCATCAGTCCCCATCCTAAGCCCCGCCCTCCCTCTTGGCATACTCATCCTCCATCCTCTCCTCATACAGCCTATCCGCCTCCAGCTCAGCCTCGGTCTTTGGTCTCGTTGATCCAGCGCCCGTGTTGACACCTGCTCCGGTAGGACGGGATGTCTCGTCGGATTGGGGCTGTTGGCCCGTGGGCTTGACGGTGGAGGTGGGGGAAGGCATTGTGTGGTTTGGGAGATGATTGAGATTTGGTGGTGTCTCTTGGAATGGGTAAGGTGAGGTATGTCCTTTTGATGCGATATGTTTTGATAGTAATGATATCCCCAATCAACTGGCAAGCTGGAGATTTATACCGAAGAGGAGTGGCAAGCTTGCGTGTGTTGGAGTCAACAGGCTGTCTCCGCTGAGCTACTGCGGCAGTATGTCACAATTCGCCACCCATTCGATGTGGGGCTTCGCTCAACATCACCCAATTATTGCACAAATGGGCTATTGCGCATGCTCTTCTTCATATGACCAACAATGCTATCTAAAATAGCGACTACATAGCATGTGTTGAGCAAATATCTGCCCGAAATGGGTGTGCAAGGCTTGCCCTGATCGGCCTGGCCCGATTGGTATCAAAATCCAGGAACAAAACATGGAGAAGGACAAATTCCCCGGTAGCGGACCTCTTCCCTCAAGCACCCGCCATATCAACGTCCATCCGCTCCCCTCACGGTGTCAGACTCCGACCCTTCAAGCCGGCCAGACGACCAGCAAGCTGCTGGCGCAAGTCACTGTGGTACTTTGCCATATGCTTCCCCTTCTCCAGAGGTCGCTGCTCAGCCGGCTTCGCATGCCCATGAGCACGAGTCTCCAGCGTCCAGTTCTCTCCAAACACCGCCTCTTGACCCTCAAACTCACCCAACCACTCCCCCATTTCCACCCCCAACATCTCCTCCATTCCCATCATAAGCTCCTCCCTCATCTCCCACACTCTATCCCCATTCCCAAACACATCCACACCCATCCTAATCCTCGCCCTCTCAAACTCCTCCCAAGCCCCCTCCCACTTCTCCTCCCATGGCCTCCACTCCTCATTGTTGTAGTAGGCGTACTTCCTCCCCTTGCTCATCCGCTTCCAACCGGAAAAGACCCTCTCCACCTCCTCCGCCCTCTCCACCTTCTTCTTGTCGCTGAACTGACCCGCAGAACGGAACAACAGCCGCTGTGCGTCGAGGTCGAATAGCTTGGGCAGTTCGGGCGTCGGCGTGGGGTTGGGGTCCGCCAGGGTTGGGACGGAGTTGTTTTCCAGGGCCAGGCGGAGATTGCGAATTAATGCGGCACCATCATTTTTCGATTTCACAGCGGGCTTGGTGTTAGCCTTTGTGATTTTGGCCTTTGCGGTGTTGGCCTTGAGCACGGCGGGGGTAGCGGGTGTCGTGTTGGTGATGGCAGCGGGGGGTTTCGTGGCTGGATGGCGGCTGACGGTGGGGGGTCGGTCGAGGATTGGGAAACTGGCCGACGGATTGTTGTTCTGAGATGGCGCTTTAGACTGAGTGTCAGCCATGGTGGCTGGTTGGGCGTTGAGTTGCTATTTTTTTTTTTTTTGGATTTGCTCTACTGAGTCTTGTGCTGTTAGCCATGGTCTCAACGAGGGTGATACCGGGAAGTCGTGGGTAAAGTGATGGTGGGGATGGCGGCGGAAGGAGGCGGAATTCCTCATCTCTCTTCGAGTGAGTTGGAAGCCGGCCTGAGGGGGCACCCAGGTCACGTCTGAACGGAAGGGGTTGCGTCCTCGTGTCCTCGTGAGGCGCCTTCCTCTTCCTACCACGAGACAGGCCAGGGAGACGAGGCTCTTTCGTCTGCTTCGCGGCATCATGTTCGCCTCTGCTCACGTTTGAACAGACCAAACTCGCTGTAGAAAGCTGGGGGTTGCGTCACGAATGGCGACGTGCTCTTTGCGCTTTGGTCCGAGGCATTACTCACCAGGTGGCAGATTTCGTGATGATGCGGCGAAGCTTTCGACGTGACGAGCACTCCAACGAGCGCTGGTTGTAGCATCGAGGTAAGAGGGCTTCGGCCTTGTAAAGGACTCGAAAGTAAACGGTTTTGTGGAGTGCGGAATCACGAGGGCAGGTACTAGCTTGTTCTTGCCTCGAGTGGATGGGAGAACGTTGCGTTCACATCAGGCTGCTCGAAAGGTTCAACAAATAAGCCGTGACGAGTTGGGGACAAATCTCCTATCATCTAATACACCTTCGTTTGGA